ACACGTGTAGTGTGTGTGAGGGCAACAAACGAGTGTTTTGCTAATGTTTGTGATCTTCATTAACTCCACATGTTGACGTTCATTGCTCTCTGCGTGTTCGTGGAGAGATGGAGTGAGATCGGTTCACCAGATGAACGCAGACGTCTGTATTAAAAGCACTTGGCCGTCTTTGAGACTCGATGACATCATTGAATCTTTGTTTTGCAGAAAGGACGTTGGACTCCGACGGTTCTTCCCCAAAAGTTTATTGGAGTCGGTTAAGGTGAGCGAATGATTTCACATTTTCATGCGTTCATTTTTTGAGTTGAATACTTAGTGTTAAAGTTGGCATGAAATTAAATTTGTGCATGTTATTTTGCACAGATGAATCATTCTCAGTGTGTGTGTGTGTGTGTGTGTATATATACATCGGCCTCCATTCGGTTACAGGCAACAGATAAAAGCAAATCAACTTTTTAAAATGTTCTGTATGAGAGTATTAAACCTGTTGATCGTGTTTCTTAAACCACTCTTACATGCACGTTTTGAAGCGTTCGAGTGAACACACACTCTCAGAAATCTCTGATTTCATTCTAATATCTTCATTTGTGTGCCAAAGATGAACTGAAGTCTTATGGGTTTGGAATGAAGTCATTGAAGATTTTGGGTGACCTGTCCCTTTAATGCTGGTTGTGAGATGAGGAGAAAAATCAAGTGTGTGTGTGTGTGTGGGTGTGTGTGTGTGTGTGCAGCTGGCATAAGAATAGTGTTAATGAGTCAATCCCACACACCCCTGCGGACAGATGCGCAGGAGAATAGTGGGGATATTCTCTGACCCTGGGTCACCCTTAAACGTGTGTGTGTGTGTGTGAGAGAGAGAGAGAGAGAGAGAGAGAGAGAGAGTGCATATGTGAGTGTGTTTGTGTGTGTGTGTGTGTGTGTGTGTGTGTGCACGTAGGCAGGACAGAGGTGTTGTATTACCGCCCCAGATCATCATCACTCATCCTCCCCCGACTCGTGCGTCGATGTTCTCCGAGAGCTGTTCATTTAGGCGGATTATAGCGTTTAATCAGTTTGCTTCCTAGAAATCGTTTTAAAGAGTTTCCAGTGTCGGGACACACACTCATGTGATGGTTAGAACGGGGTTGAATGATCAGCGCCGCCATCTGTCACTCGACCGCATAAATCAAAGTCAGACATTATTGAGTTCAGCCTTTTATTAATGCTTTCGTTTGCTTTCTAAGGGCATAGCCAAAATCCTGTCATCATTTACTCGTCTTTATGTCGTCCCAAACCTGTGTGACTTTCTTTTTTGCATAAAAGGAAATGTTTTGATGAGCTGCTGTTTGGCGTACAGTGAAAGCGAATGAACATCAGAAACATAGCGCTACAAAAGCACTAAAGTTTGCGTCCTGTAAGATTTTTTAAAAAGTTGCATTTATTTGATAAAAAATACAGTCATACAGTAGGCTTGCCGCGATAGACGGTGTTGACGGTGTTACCGGTTTTAAGCCCCATCACCGGTGACATCACTTTCCCACCGTGACACCGCGATGTCTTGACTTTTTTTTTTTAAAGTATTCGTTTTTGCTAAAATATTTATTTGAATTAATTAAAAATAATAATTTTCAATTATTTAGTTCTGAAGAGAGCATTATAATTAAAAATGAACTGCGCAACGCGTGCCGTCACGTCACAGATCAGCAAGCATCAGGATTCCATTTAGCACGTGTGGAGACGAGAACGAGTCAAATTACAGAAAAGCAAGATAATGGCGGAAGATTTGGTGTCAAAACGCTATGCAAAAGCGCCTGTTTGGCAATATTTTGGCCAATATATATTAATGTTAATAAATGCCAATTTATAGTGTTTTACTTTTTTTTAGAGTGCTGTCATTTATGTAGGCTAAGGTCCTTTTTAAAGTTTTTATTTTATATTCGTCTCTTTTTATTTGGTTTTATCTTATTTAAACTTTGTTTAATTTATTTAGGCCTATTTTGTTTTCTTATTCGTTAATAAACGTTTTATTTTTTTGGGCCCACAGTTTGCCGATTTTCACTTTTTTCAGCCTATATGGGGTTATTTTTATTCGTTCGTTACGCTAATAAAAGTTCTGTCTATATTTTATTCGTTTATTATTCTAATAAAAGTGCTGTCTAAATAAAAGTTTATTGTCAGCGAGTTGTTTTTTTTTTTTTTTTTTTTTTTTCCATTCCAGCAATTGACGCTGAATTGCAATTGACGCTTATTTCGAAAGTGAAAGTATGTCATTTATGTAGGCTAAGGTCCGATTTGAAGTTTTTATTTTATATTCGTCTCTTTTTAATTGGTTTTATCTCATTTAAACTTTGTGTAATTTATTTAGGCCTATTTTATTTTCTTATTCGTTAATAAACGTTTTATGGTTCTTATTTGTTTGGGCCCACATTTTGCCGATTTTCACTTTTTTCAGCCTATGCATGGGGTTATTTTTATTCGTTCGTTATGCTAATAAAAGTCTATAAATAAAAGTTTTATTATCAGCGAGTTGGTTTTTTTTTTTGTCCATTCAAGCAATTGACGCTTATTTCGAAAGTGAAAGTATAACGCGCACGCATTTAAAAGCTATTTAACCCCCCCGCCCTGCCCTCCACGGTGACACCGGGATTACCGGTGTTGTCACACGTCGATTAACCGGTGGGAAATTTTCCTCACCGCGGCAACCCTATCATACAGTGACATTATGGCAAGCAAATGATGGCAGAAATACTCCTGAGGAGAAACCAGTCCAGGATACATAATAGATGACAGAGATTCAGATTAATATTGTATCATATATAGAGAGCATACATATTAGCCTTGATGACACTATAAGTTGGGTAAGCCATAATTTGTGTTTTTATTAATTCATTATCAATCATTACTTATTTATATGTATTCATAATTATAGTTAATCAGTTTTCTTTTAACCTCAAAGCAGTGTCTGTCTGAATTGAATCTGTATTATTATTTTAATTAGCTTTAACGTGTATAAGGGAACATTTACCCATTGTTTTTAAACAGGTCCCTGTTATGATAAGTAAAAAAAAAAAGACGTTTTCATCATAAAAGAGACGAAGAGGTGCGTTTCTGAGGCCTAAGAAGAAGAAATGGTGCCGTCCACCCTCTTGTTAGGACTCTCAGATCTTTCCCATAATTCCTGCACAGATGTAAGACCCGATACCGGGCCGCACTTCCTCTCAGGAAGGGTGGACCGTCCCTCTGAAGCGACACTCACATTTCTGCCTGATAGGATCTGTGTCTCAATGTTGTTAAGATACCCATAATGCCTCTCAGAGCTCAGATGATCTCTAATAGCAGACTAGACCCAGATTGAGCATGTGTCTCGACTTGACTCCAGGTTTTGTGTATTTTGAGTGTTACGGAAACATAAAGACTGCTGTGTTTTATTTGATTGACAGCTGAATTTGATGGTATGATATAGAGTATGATGTATAGACATGCACACACAATATTTATTGTATTTGCTCCATACTATTACTCATGTTATGCTAAATATTTGATGCTTACTTCGATGTTACTCGTAATTTCTGACTTTATAGCGCTGTAATTTAATATAATGTTATTGGAGTGAAACTGAGTCATTGTTAAGCTAGTGCTGGTCGTATGGGACTTGACTAGTGTCTTGTTTTCATCCTGTGCGTGAGGTGTAACGCTGTTCCCTCTCTCGTGTTTCAGGCCAAAACGCTGAGGAAACAGATCCAGCAAACATTTAAGCAGTTCGCCAACCTGAACGACGAGCAGAGCATACAGAAGTTCTTTGAGATCCTGGCGCCCGTCTACAGATTCGACAAAGAGTGCTTTCGCTGTGCTTTAGGGGTACGGCAGGTCATGTGCTCAAATACTGGCCTCTCCTGCCTCCTGGTGGCCATGAGGAGTTATATTCAGTGACACTGCGTTCAAAATCTCCGAAAACAGACCATTGTTTTCCACCACACCACTCTTTAAAAGTTTGAGTCAGTGAGATTTTCAATAGCAATAACTGGATCAAAAGTGACAGTTTAGAATTTAGAATGTAACAATGTAACATTTTAGTTAGACATTTAGAATGTAACAATGTAACGTTTTAGTTAGGCATTTAGAATGTTACAAAAGATTCTATTTCAAATGCTGTTCTTTTTAACTGAAAAAACTAAATGTGTCAGGGTTTCCACAAAAATATGAACCAGCACAAGAGTTTTTAACACTGATAATAATCAGAAATGTTTCTTGAGCAGCAAATCATCACATTAGAGTGATTTCTGAAGGATCATGTGATGCTGAAAATTCAGCTTTGATCACAGGAATAAATTACAGTGTAACATCTATTCACATAGAAACAGCTATTTTAAATTGTAATCATATTTCACAATATTTTTGTTTTGTTGCATTTGTGATCATATAAATCAAAGCCTTGGTGAGCAGAAGAGACTTTAAAATATCTTTCCAAC